ATTTTTTTGTTCAATAATAAATGTGAATTCTTCTTCCTGGAAAAAATAAGACATTCCCTGAAAATAAGACCTAGCGCATTTTTCAGAGCAAAAATGAATATAAGACACTGTCTTATTTTCGGGGAAACACGGTAAAATGAAAACAAATAATTTGTTTATAATTGAGTTTTGATAACTTTTATTAAATTATAATTTTATTCTTCTCTAATTTTCGTAATGTGCATTTTTAAATCGAGTGCGCGTATTCTTCGAATTAAAAGACACAAAACCACTGTTTAACTTTTATATAAATAATTTATTAATGAAGTTTTCCAAGACCTAAACCGTAACCTCCGTAGCCGAGTCCCAGTCCATATCCGAGTCCGTAGGCTCCGTGGCCGAGTCCGTAACCCAGACCGAGACCGTAACCTCCGTAACCGAGACCCAAGCCGTAACCGCCGTATCCGAGTCCATAGGCTCCATAGGCGCCGTGTCCGAGTCCATAGCCACTATAAGCACCGTAAGCGCCGAGTCCTCCGTAAGGAGCGGCTCTCTGGTTATCCAGGCTGACGGTTACTGCGGCATCTCTTCCTCCAATTCCTCCAAGGTATCCAGCCATGCTGACGGCGCACAAGGCAGCCAAAACGATAGCGGCGAACTACAAAAAATATAAAAAATCAATGTTTTACAAATGTTTTGATTAAGATTTCACATAGTTTAGTAATTACGAAATTTTACAATACGCTTTAAAATCTGCTTATCTATATGCTTACCATGGTTTTCATGGTGAATATTATTACTTGGATATCAAGTGAATGATCAGCCAGAGATTTTGTTCGTTTTATATACTGTATGAAAGTTAATTACCTTGATTTGTTTTCCGAAGGACAACGGTTCGCCAAGGAAATAAACTCGAAAATCCAGTGCAATATCATTCTGATATAGTTATTCCTATAAATGAGTCTATTAATATACCAAAACCAGTATTTGTAGTGCTTATCCTAATTGTAAAACCCATATATTTTAAATAATTATAACATCCATTTATTTATTTATTTATGATTAATCTGTCATTTTAGAATAATATAAGTAATTAAATTTTAATTTAATATTTACATTTACAAACAGAAGTACATTTGTAAAATATAATTGTTTTTTAAAAACTATAAAAATAATTAATACTTTATAAAGCTCCGTTATAAAGTAGACTACTAAATAGAAAAAAATCAGAAAATAATGATAAATTAGAATGATTTATTGATTGATCGAATCAATTTCACAAGGTTTAAAATATGTACGAAGAATGATTCTTTTTAAATAAAATAATTTATAATTTTACTCACTATCAAAAAAATGTAGATTTAATTTAATTACCAATTAAAATAATTATCAGCTACATTAAAATTTACTTAAAAGAGGAAATAGTAGTAGTTATTAGAATATTTTAGTTTACATTTTATTGTAAATTATCAAAATTGTATAGCTGCAAATTAGAATATTTTTATTCAGCTTTATGTTAATATTTAGACATGTTAAAAAAATTAAATTCTGTTTCTTGAAATTAAGAATTTTCATTTTTTACAAAATAAACTTGAAAATGAAAAATTTACAAGTTTATTTAAAGTAAGAATGTTTTAAAAGGAAATCATTCTAAAAAACTGTTTAGGATATGATTTAAAACATGTTTTCATTTTCTTATTATTGACATTCATCTCAATCAAAGATATGTTTTATAAAATAATTGGTCCAACATCCTAAAATGGTGATTGATTATTATATTTTGTAGATACAGCTTTTCAAACAAAGACAATAGATAAAACAATAGAAATGCATTCTATTTGATATAAGTATTAGCATTCGAAATACACGATGTAGTGCTTATTTGGGTAACAAATAGCCTTGGGTACGAGATATATTATGAAGTCAAGTATAATCAAATGTATCAATTTCTAACAATAAATATTTTGCAGTCAATGTCAATAATTATTTTTTGTGTGAAAAATTTAACTTGTTAAGCTTTTCTTTTTTCCATTCCCTTTTACCTCTATTATTCATTGAAGTTTACGTAGTAGTTTTTTTCGGAGGTCATACTCAATACGAGGTATTCTTTCGTATTAAATGTGATATCAAATGGAAATTTTGAAAGTGATGTTAGATGAGAACTTCTTAATATATTGGACTGAACGAGAGGAAAAAATGCCCTAATTGTATATCCTTACATAGAAGAATGCTCTTGTTGAATGTGACTTCCGAAAAAATTTAATAATATATTATACAAATGCTTTCATTTTTTTTTCATTTTGGAAATATAATATCACTTCAAATAAGAATAATTAAAACAATTGACAACAGAACTCTGAAGAATAGAAATTTTTTGATAATTTCCGATAGATATGCTCTTAAATAGCACCTAAACAGTTATGTGTGTAAAATTATACCGTATTCTTTTAAATATAGATCATATTAACATTTTACCTGCATAGTTTATCAATCACATATTATTTATTTTTTAATTTTGTGCGTTTTTGAGAGTTTAAAAAATATTATCGTAATTATATGCATAACTTTATTAATTAAAGAATGCTATTGAATTTGTATCTCAAATCCTGGTGATTGAAATATGATTCTAAATTTAAATTTATCCCCAAAGTTTTTGGGAAAAATAATACAGGCTACAAAATTTTCTAGAATATTTATGAAAAATTATTTAATATACATATTACCATCACGATGAAAATATTTTATTCGGTCTGAGATCAACAGTTAATAAAAAAGTGACTTCAGAATATACTTAAGAGAGTATATGTAGGCCCTATATATCAATGTTCGTCGTATTATCAATATGTTTTAGGATTAAATATTTAAATGAAAATGATCCACATTGCTTCAGATATAGGCTACTAAAATATGTCTCATTTGATATGTAAATACATTCGTATATAATAACGAAAAAGTGTTTTTGAAAAATAATAAGAATTATAAAAAGGAAATATATAATGTTTAGAATAAAATTTATTCTAATACAATTTTTTTATATTATTAATTAGTTTATATTAATTTAATATTAGTATAAATGGACATGTAATTGAAAGATAGTTAAAAATTTATTGTTATTATTGCTTCAATTAACATTAGAAGTTAAACTCAAATTTTTTAAATATAGATTCAGTCTGATGATTATATAATATAGCAATAACAGAATAACTAAAAACTATTTTATCAATATATATTTTTTTGATTTTATCTGTACAATTTTTTAACACTTTAAAAAAAGTAAACAAGCAAACAAGGAAGGATAATTCTTTCCTTGAATCAAGGTGATTTTTCTAAATTAATTGTATAAGTGTCTTTCTTGCATAGACTACTGAGCATAATATTCTGTAACTATTAATATATAAGCTTATAAAATTAATTACTTGACTTTATTTATCAAGAAATAAAGCGTTATCAACTAATTTTCCATTTTTTCCGTGATGTTTCTATGAAGGATAATTTGGTAAATGTTATGTCAATGGAATTATTATTATTATCTATTTGATTCTTGGCTGTAAATATGTGTTTACCATATTTTTTTTATATTTTTGTTAATGATTTTCGTTATTTACATAAATATCATCATAAAAGTAAGTTCAAAGATTATTTGAAAGTGTTTAATCAAAATTTTATCAATACTGTTATAATTTATTTTCTAATTTTTCAGAAAATAACTCTCATCTTTGTCAAATTTCAAAAGCTTTCAATTTCATGGAATGGATTTTAATTTAGCATATTTAATTTGTAAATATAATATAAAAAGTAAAACACATTCTTATAGAAAATATTAAATTAAAATTTAATTACTTATATTTTTCTAAAATGATAAAGGATTAAGCTTAAACAAATACAATTTTATAAATAAATATATATAAAATGTTGATTTTATATTTAAGATCATTTACAAAATGTACGCTTTGGTCTACAATTACTGGTTTTGGGATATTAATAGATTCATTTATAGGAATAACTATATCAGACTGATATTGCACTGGATTTTCGAGTTTATTTCCTTGGCGAACCGTTGTCCTTCGGAAAACAAATCAAGGTAATTAACTTTCATACAGTATATAAAACGAACAAAATCTCTGGCTAATCATTCACTTGATCGCCAAGTAATAACATTCACCATGAAAACCATGGTAAGCATATAGATAAGCAGATTTTAAAGCGTATTGTAAAATTTCCTATTTACTAAACTATGTGAAATCTTAATCAAAACATCTGTAAAACATTGATTTTTTCTATTTTTTGTAGTTCGCCGCTATCGTTTTGGCTGCCTTGTGCACCGTCAGCATGGCTGGATACCTTGGAGGAATTGGAGGAAGAGATGCCGCAGTAACCGTCAGCCTGGATAACCAGAGAGCCGCTCCTTACGGAGGACTCGGCGCTTACGGTGCTTATGGACTCGGACACGGAGCTTATGGAGCCTACGGACTCGGACACGGCGCTTATGGAGCCTATGGACTCGGACACGGCGCTTACGGCTTGGGTCTCGGTTACGGAGGTTACGGTCTCGGTCTGGGTTACGGACTCGGCCACGGAGCCTACGGACTCGGATATGGACTGGGACTCGGCTACGGAGGTTACGGTTTAGGTTTTGGAAAACTTCATTAATAAATTATTTATATAAAAGTTAAACAGTGGTTTTGTGTCTTTAATTCGAAGAATACGCGCACACGATTTAAAAATGTACATTAGAAAAAGTAAAGAAGAATAAAATTATCATTTTATAAATTTTGTTATAGCTTAATCATAAGTAAAAAGCGACTTATCGTTTTCGTTTGATTTAATCAAATGGCTTTCAATTTTTTTTATTGAAGTAGTGACGTATTTAAAATTTTTGCTGCATACCGATGAGTTTATATGCACTCAAAACGCGACGTTAACAATATATAGGTTTTTAAATAATAATTATATATATAAATACAAAATACAAATAGTATTAAAAGTAGAGAAAAATCTAAAGTAATTTTTAAGAATTTTGAAAAGTTCATGGCACACCAGTGTATCGTGACAAACTAATTGAGAACCAATATAATCATTAATCATTAGTAAAAAAAAAATTGTTTTAATTTACAAATATTAAATTGATTATAAATACATATTAAATAGATTGACATTATGATCTCGTAATAATATCAATTCGTTTTCTTTTAAAATTATTTAAACCAATTTTTGTCATTTTTAATTTATCATTAATTAAATATTAATATTGAGCATTTAAATATATTTAAATGCTCAATATTAATTTATATATAGCTTTTGCATTCGAAAACGCTTTTAAAAACCATTTATTATTGCAGCTAACGATGGAAACAAATAAAATATTTAATACATTAAAGATTTTTACGAAAACATTTTTAATAAATTCGAAATTGTAATTCAAAATATATGAAAAATTTTGGTAATTTTATTTATATATTTAACATTTTGTAAAAATGTTACTTAAAATTTTAATTGAAAAAAATTGTAAAATATTTTAAAATTTATGTAATTTAATTATGAATTTGTATAATAAAATTGTAAAATACTTTTTAAAGTTTTACTTTATTTCAAATTTTTAAAAGAAAAAAATTGAAATTAAGTATTTGTTACAGAAAAACCAACCATTTCCAAGCAAATGCAATAATTTAAAATTCGAGAAAATTATGATTATTTCCGAAGTTTGATAGGCCAGAATATTAACTATAGATCCAAAATATTGTAGTACTATATAGCCTATATGCAGTCCACACGGATGTTTTAGGGTGTGATTCATCGTTTAGCAATTCAAACAGAAAAATGTTATGTTAATAAAACGGTATATTGTATATAACTCTATTTATTTTGTATCCCTTCAGTCATACCTTAGTCTACTGCATTGTATTATTCTGTATATCTATCAATAAACGACGTTGTAAAAAGATAATGTGGTTTTTTCCCAAAATTTTGCTTACGGTCCTGCTTTATATAAAAAAAATTTCAAAAACATAACACTGTATATACTATACAGGCCTGTCTATGTATGTAGAAAAGGATATTGTAATGCTATATATAATACATCAGCATATAGCTTATCAAATATATATAAAAAATACGTAGAAATATATTATATTTGATTTAAAAGCTTCTTGTCTTGGTTGTATTGATGATAATACAATACAACCACGACAAGGTTTTTAAATCAACTATGAATACATCCTCCAGCCAAGATCCAGGAAACATCGACGAAATGGAAAGTGAATTAAATAGACTAAATACTGATATCTGATACACTGTAAACAGAACTAAAGAATATAATACCCGAAATGCATATTCTGTTCGATTAAAGCCTATTTTTACACCATTTCGCCGTTTTTCCTGTATATAAATCCGTTATAGCAATTTTATGCTCACATAGAAGACATATATTATATTATTTATATTGTGGAAACAAACTTAAGAATAAAAAAATTACTTGAACTTAAATATTGTAATAAATAAACTAATTAATCTCAAGTGAAGTATTTAAGATTTTTCAATGAAATATTCTGTGCAATAAAAGCAGAATTGTATAAATTAACTTGCAGCATCTTAATGATTTTAGCCTTAAACCGTACAATCTGATTATAAGGCTTAAAGCTACATGCCTTAATAATTAAATTAACCTTATAATTGAGCAATTAAATCTTACAGCATCATATCTTAAGCATATTGTTCATTAATGTAAAATCTATCACATAGAATATTGAATTTTAAAAGCAATATATAAATAATAACATAATTTTTAATAAATATTAAAATATTGTAATTCGACGTATTTTTGTGTGTTAAAAAATACTAAAAATTAGTTATAAGAATTTATCAATAAATTCTCATCTTTTCTTTATGTTAAACGAGTTAAAACCTTTAGCACATGAAAGTAGACTTCCGGTAAAATACAAAAAAGTATTATATTATAAAATAAAAATCGTGATTAATGACGGTTAAATTTTAAAAAATTCAAAATCTTATTTTAAATAGTACGATTAATATTTAGTAAATTAATAATTCCGTTTAGATATGTTTAGAAAAAACATAATTTTGTTTATTTATTTTCTAAATTCGGATGATAGGATGATAAACTGAAATCGTATGACATGTTACGTGCAAGATGATTCAACCAACGTTCTACTTTGGGCACGTGTGTAATAAATTCGTCACCCCTTTCCTACGTGTCTCAGAAGAACCTTTCTTCACACCCATTGCGGGTTTCTCCAAACCCCCAATGGAGACGACCAGATGGTGAAGACGTGACCCCATATCAGGGAAAAATTTCCCATAAAAAAATTTTCATGGAGTTGCTCGCCGGATTTGAATCACAGATTTCCAAAGAGGGGTAGATTGGCACTATAACTACCATCCAGCCTACAGTAGTAACACGTTCAGAATACAATTTTATATTATTTTAATATGATATAATTTTAACCTATTTAATAAAATACTCAACAAATAAATATAAATGTTTTAACATTTCGAATCAATTTAATAAATTGTGTCAAGGTCATCTTCGATCATCTAGACTAAAATGTGCTATATGAAAACATTTAAAAAGGCAAATCATGCGATCCGTCGAGGGAGGACTTTCTATGAAAAATTGGCCCCTATTTAAGTGTTACAGCCGTGAAAAAACTCCATGTGGTCGACTCGTCCACGAAGGACGAACCCACCACCAACTCTATCAGGGTTCAGTGGTTTTACCCCTCGGGCATCGATGGGTTTTTAAATAGTGTTAACTATTAGGCAAATTAATATCTTTTATAACATTTAAGCATTTTTTTCTCAAAATATTTTAAAACAAAATAATAATAATAACAATAATGAATGAACCAAAATAAAATATCAAAAGCGTAAAGTAAAACTGTAACAAATACAAGGATATCAGGCAAATTAAATGCTCAGAATTTCTCGAATTATTCTCATTATTCGAATTCTTGTAAATCGAGTTAGATTTTTGTTGGCGTATAAAAATGGATGTAAAGATAGGATATTTTTGTTTATTTATTTAACTTTGTTCGAGCTGTGGATGAAATGTATGAAGTAAAATTACCATTAATGGTAACGGATGTATAATTATTAATAATATATTGTAATTCTATTAAAACATATTTCTTTTATGAAAGTCTAAAATGTATTGCATCATCCAGTATACTGTGATGATGCTCTGAATTGTATAGATTTAGGCTATATTGGAAAACCATTTTTTCATTAAATAAACTCGTTTATTCTTGAATATTAAAATATTAATGAAGGTAGACTACTTCCGAAAATAAGGAAGAACTTCCGAATTTTAATAGAAATTTGGATTATTTAAATAATCTCAAAACTAGTATTGAACTAATTTAAAACTCGATATTCAAGTTTAATTCGGCGGTTAATTTGTCCTTCGAACGAGAAGTCAAGGCAATTACTTCGATATATAAACCGAACTCCGTGGTATACTGATCATTCATTTACTTGACTCTCAAGTAGCAATATTCATCATGAAATCCATGGTAAGTACAGTTTATTTAAATTATACAAATATTTAAGTTTTCGATTTGCTTCTATACCGATGATATTTTTGTAGTTCGCCGCTATCGTTTTGGCTGCCTTGTGCGCCGTCAGCATGGCTGGATACCTTGGAGGAATTGGAGGAAGAGATGCCGCAGTAACCGTCAGCCTGGATAACCAGAGAGCCGCTCCTTACGGAGGACTCGGCGCTTATGGTGGAGCTTATGGAGCCTACGGACTCGGATATGGCGGTTATGGCTTGGGTCTCGGTTATGGACTCGGCGGCTATGGCGGTTATGGATTGGGTCTCGGTTACGGACTCGGCGGCTATGGAGGTTATGGATTGGGATACGGTCTTGGCTATGGTGGCTACGGACTCGGCGGAAAATTATGGTAATTTCAGGTAAGAAAATTATGGTAATTTCAACATTATACTTATGAAAGATTAGATAATGAAAATTTATCTTACTTTATTCTTTACGTTTTCTTACAGAGACAAATCAGATAGAATTGGAATAAAGAATGCATCAGTGCTGTATATAATGTAGTCATTATATATATATGAGTAATGTTTTTGTAGTGTGATACTTCGTCTAAATTAAAAATTAAATTAAATTCTATATGGTGTAATGAATGAATTTTTTTTTAATTTCGAATAATTCTTTCTGAATTTACTGCATAATTTCTGGATATGAATATCACATCACTTATTCTTCTAATGCTTCGATTGATTTTATATTTTAATTCTAAAAAAGCAATTATTTTCGAACTGATATAGAGATAACATTTTTATGACAGACTTAAGTTTATGTTTAAGAAAATTTTGCATAATGCATAAATTAAACTATTTTACAGAAAACTCGATTATAGTATTTACAAAGTATTATTTAATTACACTTAAAGTTCGATTTTTAAATGTATAATTAAAATTAAATATACAGTAGTTAATTACAACACGTAGAGACAATGTAAACATTTTTCTATAAATATTATATAGTCATAATCATATAAGACTGAATGATTTTTATCGCTAGTAAAATGATATTTTCCTGGAGAAAATTATTATTTTAAGATTAAATGAGAGATTTGCTTTGAATGTATTTAAATAATCAAACATATCCTCGATATAGACATTCTTGAGAATATTTCATAACTAAGAATTCTTATATTTAATCGGTTTTTAAATATGAAAAAAATCACCTTTGAAGGTGACACAGTTTAATCGAATGGCTACATAACTAATATGCTAATTTCCTATAACAAATATGTATTAAATTTTAAGGCTTTAATACATGATTTATAGCACTTAAAATTAAGTTTACATCTTCATATAAATTCTCATTAATCCTCAAATTATATTTCGTTTAATTATTATATTGTATAAAGTATAACAACTTTATAATACGATATTTTATATAGGATAAATACTTTCTCCAACTTTATAACTGCCGTTTTTTTTAACCTATTAAATCTACTGGGTGTTCACTCTTTAGTAGATTTCACGAGCGCTTGGTTTACCGAGACCTGTGCCCGTAACAATTTGGAATATAATATGCTACTTGATACAAATATGTAGCACAGTCAGGGGTTACGGTCCTGATTGTCCTTGTCCTCACGACGTTGAAGTTTTGATATATTTTCACGCATATCCACATACAAGCATATGTGAAGTAGCGAGGCAATATGAATTAGCCGTGCCAAATACGAGTATACATTTTATGTCGACCTAACACGTACTCATTCAATTGCTATTTGCAACATGCAGAGAGGATGCTGCACGGTGATTTGACCTGTGCAACAGATAATTGAATCACAACTGCTCGAACACATTTTATGGACTTTTTTTAGAATGAAGTAACTGCTACAGTGTGCACTAATGGGTACAGCGTGTTCTACGATGCATTTGAAATACGCGACACTAGGTATGTTTTATGATAGATGCCTGGTATGGCATCTGGAGTGGTAGGTCATGGTCTCTTATTCATATACGCCATCCTGACTAATGACTACTATTTTAATATCCCATATCCAACAGTGGATAAATGGCTCGACGACTTATACCAGTGGTTCTTAATTAACATTTTTATACTCGAGCCCACCAAATATTTCATAATTTTTTTTGTGACCCACATTTTTTTAAATAATAATTTATATTTGTTGAATTATCTTTTACAANTGTGCACTAATGGGTACAGCGTGTTCTACGATGCATTTGAAATACGCGACACTAGGTATGTTTTATGATAGATGCCTGGTATGGCATCTGGAGTGGTAGGTCATGGTCTCTTATTCATATACGCCATCCTGACTAATGACTACTATTTTAATATCCCATATCCAACAGTGGATAAATGGCTCGACGACTTATACCAGTGGTTCTTAATTAACATTTTTATACTCGAGCCCACCAAATATTTCATAATTTTTTTTGTGACCCACATTTTTTTAAATAATAATTTATATTTGTTGAATTATCTATAATAAATTGATTCTTTTATCATTGCTTTATTTTTTTATATAATAAACGTAAAACATAACTTTATCATTTCATTATCTATTTAAATAACATTCAAACTTCACAATTAAACATAAAAACTCATTAATTTTTAACAAAAAATAAAATAAACATTTAAAAATTCATAGAAAAAAAATATTCGAAAATAATTTAATGAGATTTATGGATTAATTATAAATAAATAAAACTAAACACATAATATAAAAAAGAAATTTACTATTATTCGATCCAAAGTCGATGTTAAAACTAAACAAAAACTAAAACACCCACAACTTGTCGTAAAGATTTTGCATATCTTTTGCAAAAACATTTAAATTTTCAAAGCCTAATACTAAGCCTACTATTTTTCCTAATTATTTTTAAATTCCAAGCATTAATAGTTTCTTAAAATTACTTTGGAAGAAAATAAGTAAATACTGCGGTATAAGTAGCATATTTGCATTTATTTCTTCTGTACTAACAAAGTTGTATGTAGGAAGAAATAAGAAATAAATAAAAAAAACTAAATACGAAAACTTTATCTTTCTTATTTCATTTTTCAATACAATATTCGGTTATACATCAATTTTCTTTTTATTATATTCCGAAGGAAATTTTGCATAATTTGGCGGCTCCCCGGCAAACTTATGGACCCCCAGGGGCCACGGCTCCCGTAAGAATCACTGACTTAAACCGTTGGAGCAACTAAGGCTGGTCCAAGCCCCCACCAGTGGGCGAGTGGTCTCCGTTGCCGCTCATCGTAGTGGTGACCAGACCCTAAAGACTGGGAGGTTCGTCGTGGGTTCGCGCCACGGTCGGACAGGCTGGCTGCTTGGAGTTTTCCGGGTTTTCTCCTTGCCTATAACGACTGAATAAGAGGCCAGTTCCCCATAAAAGTCCTCCCGGAAGGCATTTATTTCCCGCGCGTACGTATGGCTGCGCGATACAGCCGGCTAATCGGTCGCCTAGCGATCATACACAAACAGAAGTCTACTCGGAGAAAGAGCCTACATTGAGCTATAATCTCCATATAAAACACCATCGAAGAAGAAGAAAGAAAGAAAGGCTGGTCCAATTGCTATCAGCAGGATGGCGTGCCAGCTGATTTCCGGATAGACGTACAGGGCTGTATTTATAAGTAAGCTGTAACTTAGTGCCTCAAAACTTTCTACAATAAAGAAAATTGAATTTTGTAATAAAATTGTTTTACAAACCAATAAAATATACTTTACTTTTTTGTGTAGTATTTAATTATATTAATTAATAAACACTATCGATTATATTACATTTCTAGTGATTTCTTCCTTTTAATATAATATTTATCCGATTTTTATAGGTAGCTTTTTTGTTACCAGAAAACAAAATTTTTAGTTTTTTCCTTTTTAAATTGTAACTTATTTTGTATGTTGTAAATACTTTTTAACAATAAAACAATTATTATTAAAATTAATGTTTGTTAATTCTCTTCTTTTTATAACTGACTTCTAAATTGTAAAGGGACCTCAAAATGCTTAAATCTGGCCTTGGTGTATTATTCGCATTTTCACAGACTCATCAGCTCAGTATATACTTTTAAGCTGATCAGTCGAGAGTAAAGTCGACAGAACACCACGAAAACGAGTACTTACACTTTTCTTTTAACTATTTCAAATTAAGAAGAGCAACTTTATGACGTTAACTTATAATAAATATAGCAAGTAATTACAGCATGTATTTAATACCTAGAATAATGCGGTTGTGGAGTCGGCTATGTTGGTGCTAAGTAGACTGACTGCCACACACAGAAAAAATGCACGGTCCGTTGTAAGCCTACGAAATTCACTTGCTGCCTTCATCCAAAAAAGGTTGCTCACCTCTGCTGTATAGCGTTATAATAATTTTTATATTATTGGTTTGTAAGATTGCGTTATTTCACACTCGCAAAAAATAACATGCGAGATCGAAACCATACTATTTTTGAAAACTTCATTAAGAAATCCAAGTTTTGCTGTTGTATTTATCTCCAATTTCGCGTTTAAAAATTCTTATATTATAAATAATTTAAATGTAATGAAACTTTTTTACAAGTAATAGTATTCATAAATTTGTTTTAGTAAAAGGCAGATATTTAGAAGGAAATTGTGTTACTACAGATTATTTTTAATTTTCTAAATACATTATGAGGCAAATTAGGTAGAAAGCTTATAATGATATTTAGCAAAACATATTTTTTAAATGATATATATTTTAAGTTTGTTTTTGTTAACTGTCTTTGAGAGATGTGCAAATAATAATTGAAATATTTTTGCAAGCAGTATAAACTATTGAAATATTGAAAGTTTTTAAAGAAAAAATTTATTGAAATTGTCCACATAAATAATCTTTTAATATTTCATTTCCACCATTATTTGAAGTAAATATTCAAATATGATAAAGAATTAATTAAAAATTTAATTATGTTTGCAAGTGGTTGCTCTCTTATTGCTGAAAGCAGAAATCTTGAAAAATATAAAACAAGATAGATTTTATTTATTCTCTGTTTAAAAACTAGAACAAAGCTATATGAAAATTATCAAGGAAATGAGAATTCAGATTTATAGTTCCTAAATCTGATACAAAAGTAAATGGTATATTTCAATAATTATTTATACAATTTAAAAATAAAAGTATAGAAATAAATATACATATGGACAATAAACTCAGTAAAATAAATATAAGTTCAAAAAGTATGAGATAGACGATTATAATGCAAAATAGTTGAATAAAGCTGATTATAGTAAACTGGAAATAATATAATAAATGACCCTATATATATGACCTTTGATAGTTATATTCATAAATTGTGTTTAAAAAAAAGTATCTAGATATCATAGTCTCAATTATTTTAAAAATGTTTCTTCTATCTTAGAGAATTTTTTAATTTTATATTTGTTCTGGCATTTTTTTCTTTTTTACCATTTATAGTGTTATTAGGGATGCAACTAGAGTCTCTGTNAACTTATTTTGTATGTTGTAAATACTTTTTAACAATAAAACAATTATTATTAAAATTAATGTTTGTTAATTCTCTTCTTTTTATAACTGACTTCTAAATTGTAAAGGGACCTCAAAATGCTTAAATCTGGCCTTGGTGTATTATTCGCATTTTCACAGACTCATCAGCTCAGTATATACTTTTAAGCTGATCAGTCGAGAGTAAAGTCGACAGAACACCACGAAAACGAGTACTTACACTTTTCTTTTAACTATTTCAAATTAAGAAGAGCAACTTTATGACGTTAACTTATAATAAATATAGCAAGTAATTACAGCATGTATTTAATACCTAGAATAATGCGGTTGTGGAGTCGGCTATGTTGGTGCTAAGTAGACTGACTGCCACACACAGAAAAAATGCACGGTCCGTTGTAAGCCTACGAAATTCACTTGCTGCCTTCATCCAAAAAAGGTTGCTCACCTCTGCTGTATAGCGTTATAATAATTTTTATATTATTGGTTTGTAAGATTGCGTTATTTCACACTCGCAAAAAATAACATGCGAGATCGAAACCATACTATTTTTGAAAACTTCATTAAGAAATCCAAGTTTTGCTGTTGTATTTATCTCCAATTTCGCGTTTAAAAATTCTTAATTAAATTTTATAATTACTTTTGAGTTACTTTTTAATTTTCTAAATACATTATTTATCAAAATTGACAACAATGAACATTAAAAATAATTTTAATGAAAACTTTATTGAAATTTTATATTTACAATATTTTACATGTTATATACAACATATAACAGCTTAGAGAATTAGTATAAAAATTTATAAATATAAAATAAAACGACTAGATAATAGTTTATATAACTAAGAAACAAACAATATTTATAATAGATAATATAACAATAATATAATAATTATAATAGATATTATTAAACCACTCTTTTCTACTTAAAAATTCATTTTAAAAATATTAGAAGTTAATTGCCAGAATTGTCATTAAAACTGTTCAGACGGTTTTAATGACATTGACTTTTAGTATTAAATGAATCAATTATTAATATAAAAATATTTTAACTAAAATATTATAGAAGCATATTACAGTAGGATTTTGTATACTAAATTATTATATGTGGATTCATGTTTTCACAGATAATGAATGGTCAGGTTAACCCACTCAAAGGATCTTAATCATCAGAATAAAATATCTAAATGTGTCAAAAATGTTAAATATAATTATATAATATATTTACAAATTTTATTGAAATTAACTTCCTCTGTTATGCTTATTATGCTCTTTAATAAAAGAAGCAAAATATAATTACTTAAAAAATACAAGAATTATCATTAAAGTCTCAAAATTCAATAGCTTAAATGCTAGCAGAGCAATCTTCAATATTTTAAGAAAGACCAAAGGATAATGGAAAACAAGGAATGTTGAATTACACTTAAATATCTGTTTATTTTTGAGCAACGTAGGACAAAATGTTTTGAACAATTGAAATTATTATATAATGCAACTGAAGAATATAATAATGAAAAATAAATTTTATATAAAATTTTTAAAATTTACATTACATTTTCAACATATTTGTCTATAATATTTTATATTACATTTTACCATATAAACACTCATAATGGAAAGATATGCAATATCCTTCAATAATATTTTAATATCTACAAATAATTTTCATAATTTAAACAGTAGATAACCAGAATATAAATTTTATTCTGTTGTCGAAATTGTTATTCAAGTTTGATAAAGAGATTGAAGTAGATCATTAATTTTTCTCATTCTCTTTTTCTTCATTTTCATCATCCGAATCAGCAGATGGGATAACAAATTCTCCATAATAATCTTTTATTACAAGTTCAGGAACCTCTCTTTTCAATTTGCAAAGGAGAGAATCAATTATCTATAGTATAAAAATATATTAATTAACAATAAATAAATACCAATTTAATTTGAGATTCAGAAACAAAAATGTGAAACTAAATTTATATTGATCAATAAAATTTTCACTAGATTAAAATAAGAATATTAACTATTAATAAATAATAATAATGCAGTTGTAGGATTTAAAAATGTCTTAAAATCAAAATTAAACAAAATATATTGCATGTGTATTTAAATTTATTTTAGTAAGATTAAGCAAACCATAAATAAAATTTTACATATATAATTGCTAATTAAATAAAAATTCTTAATTACAAATAAATAAAAAATTTTATTAATATGTATACATGAGGAATATATGATTAAATCATATACTTAGTATTAAATGAATCAATTAATAATATAAAAATATTTTAAGTAACTAATATATTATAGAAGCATATTACAGTAGGATTTTGTATACAGGATTGTTATGTGTGGATTCACACTTTCACAGATAACAAATGGTTAGGTTAACCCAGTCATTGAATCTTGAGCATCTCTTGTGAGCCACTCTACTCCCAGAGTTTTCTGTACAAAATCATGTAGTGGTTGAGCAACTCTTGAGTTGCAAACACCTGGCACAAATATTTGATGAGCAATACACATTTTGTTCAATCCACACATTTTAAGATAAAAATAAATTATCAAATTAATTTAAATATATCAAAAATAATATGAATAAGTATTATTATATTTAAGGAACTTTTCATACAAATAATTTTACTTGCAGTGTGGTATAGTAGCAACAGATTATGAATAACTTTTGATGGTGTTTTGCAGGAGCAGAATCATATCAAGCTTATTTGTTATTTTCTACACATCAGGAAAGGCTTCTTTGTAAAAGTTACATCATTCATAAAATTGAAGTGCAAACAGAAGTTGAAAATGTATTGATATTACAGGCCCTCTTTCCATTTCTATGTCACTTTCAATTTTGTTTAATAAATAAATGAAAGTTTGTTTCAATAGGCAGTATCATAACAGTAAACTTATACCATCATATGAAAATCCCTCACATAATAAGGAGCTGTACATTCATCACAATTTCATACTGCTTGACCCTATTGATACTATCTTATCTTTTAATATCCATTTTTACTCTCTTTTTAACTACTAATTTACAACAAAATAAATAAATAATGTATATTTATTGTATACATTCAAAAAGATAGAAAAAAAAACACATATTGCATTTATCTGCTCATGACCAATGAATTTCTTTATACTAGAAAAGCCACTTTCATTTGAAGCTAATGAAAATAGCTGCTCTTCCACCCAGCCACTCTTGTAAGTTTATGAAACATTGTATGCTGAGCCCTATTAACAGCTCACTGATGAGTCATATGATGATCTTATGATACATTTTACATCCTAGTCTCATTAGATTGACTCAAAATTGAGAAACTTTATATCACTGAACCACCATAATAAAATGTTTCTCTGTATATTCAGAAACAGACTAAAATGTCATTCATTACATTTAAAAACAAGTAAAATGTTTTAAACACATGTTAACATTTTTCTGTCAATTGTAAATGGTTCCCCAAGTGTCTAGTCAATCCATCTGGCACTACTTGAGCTGGAGCACAATCTATGCAGAATTTCATTTTATTTAATACCTGCTGACAAACAACTCATACATAAACAAGACCATATTGTAATTGATAAAATAGAAGAAATTAATGTAAATTTCTGTTTTATATATCCTGATATTGTTATTTGTTTGAAGGTCTTAAATTTCTAAAAGGTAATCAAAAAAAAAAAACATATTAAAATTTGCTTTTTAGCTAAATATTGTTCAATTAGACTAAACTGTAAATATATAAATAAACTTTAAATTGGGATAAATATGGTTCTATTTTTGTATTCAACCTTTACTTAATTTAAATATTTCAAATGTTCAGACATTTCATTTTAAAATGGTAATATTATATTCCATTTTATGTTACTGTAAGAATCTGATAATGATATATATAAGATCAAAGTACTCATCTCAAAGTTATATACTAGTTTTTTATCACATGTTAAACGTTGGTTTAATAATCCTGTAATCAAATATTAATAAATGATGTAAATTTTCCAATGAATTTATTAATAATTAGAAAATTTAAGATTTAAACTTGAAAAATTGTTATCATCAGCTATCATTAATATTATCTAACTTATATTTAAGATTTATCCAGATCATTTGAAAGATATTTATATTTGAATAAATCCTAGTTAGACTATATACATTGAATTATGTCCAGTAAATTATGAATTGCTTTTTAAATAACTATAAAATCATTTATTGTATTTAAACAACAATTTAAAATTGCAATTAATAAATTATTTTTGTAATTATTTGAACAACAAACAATAATATACAGTGGAACCTCACTTAATGAGCATCTCACATAATGAGTGTTTCGCATAACGAGCAAATCAAATTTTTAAAAAATGACTCACTTAACGAGCAAAGTTTCGCATAACGAGTGACGAGGAGAGAGGAAGTCCCGGATTGTGTGCATGCTCCATCGTGCTATTATCTGTGATTTTTGTGTTTTTTGCAAATCGAATTCACATTCCAGGTTAGTTCATTCCATGCTAGAAGAAAAGGTGATGATGATTTACGCTCCTTAACAATGTATATTGTATCATTTTCTTTGAATAAACATTATACGTAAAATACCGTATAACGTGCATATAAGACGATCTCGCATATAGGATGAGGTGTGACTTTAAAGATCAAAATAAAGAAAATTAGATTTATTAATACAATTCTAATTTTATTTCATTTAATCACAAATAAATTATCATCAAATGCACGTATTAAGGCAAACAAACATGTTTTCTCAACGCTATCACCTTTTGTCTACTCGGACTCACCCTCTGAAGCTTACAATTCTCTTCTTTTTTACTCTTACTCCACAAAGCATCATCCTCTGATCTATTAAGTGAATTTAAAATGCAGTATTTCTTGAATGACTGCTATCAGCTTTTGAAGATTGCTTTTCCACACACGATACCCACGTAGCATAACCAAAAGATTATAATGCACATAACCGGAAAAAGTTTATTTTTAATGATTCAAAACATGCAAATATTCATTAAAAATGCCAATTTAACAAATATGAAATAACTACATTTATAATCATTGCTAAGTGACCAGCTATTTTCAGATTATCTCTTTAAAAGCGACATTCACCTTGACCTCGATAGACCTCTGCTATAATGGCAGCATGAACTATACACAGTTCATAAAAATTATTGCAAAAATGCAAAGGATCCTTTGCTTGAGCGTATAGGATGACCTAGGTTTTTGATACAGTGAAAAATGAATAAAAACCTCATCTTATATGCTAGTAAATACGGTATTGGAGTATTTTTTTCGGCATGGAACGCATGATCATATTTTAAATTAATTTCTATGGGAAAAATTGTTTTGCATTATGAGTAAGGTTCCGGAACAAATTATGCTTGTTAAGCGAGGTTCCAATGTAATTTCTATTTTTTTCATCTACAATCAATTATATATATTGCGATATATTAACTAAAAAATAATAGTATTAAAAAGAGTATAAGTATGGCATTTAACACACTATTACTAAAACTGTCAAATAGTTCATTAAATATTATGTTATAATGTCTTATTATTGTGATACAACAAATACAATATTTTAAAAAGTACATTTTTTACTACAGAATGTTCATTTTTAGCAAAAGTTTCTACACTATTGTGTAAAAACTTTTGCTAAAAATTAAGATTCTGTTAGTTTTAAAAATTTATTACTTAGTGGTAAAACAAGTTAGTAGTAAAAAAAAAATTAAAATATCTCATAATAAATATCTACATACATTGCTGTTACTGCTTTTTCCAATATAAGAAAATAAAAGTTTATTAGATTTTTAAAAAATAACAATGTTTTCTTATAGAACTTTATAATTTTTTACATTGAATGCAAAGTTTACCTCATTACATTGTTCTAAATTTAAATATCCTAAATGCTTCATATTTGAAGGCACTTTTAAAAGAGCAGTTCCAGTTATTCGATATAATCCAAGTAAATCTATTCCTCTCAGATTACTACAAAAAAATTATAAAATATCATTTTGAGGTTAAAACATTAATTTCTCTAATAATAACTATTTATTGATATACTTACTGACAATTGGTAACAATGAAATCTAAACCAACATCTGTAATTTTCCAACACCACTGTAAACCTAAATATCTCAATTCTGTACAGCTGTAAAACATTATAAAATGTATAAATTTATAGTAATTTAATATGATTAATTCTAATGAGCTGAGTTTTGAAAAAACAAATCAAAAACTAAGAGTTTTTTTTTTTTTTTTCATCACTCAATAGAACATTTAT